CCTCCCGGTCCCCTTCTCCTTCCAGCAGCTGATGGCTGAAGGACTCATCTGGGATGAGAAAGAGCATTCAGATCAAATCCCCTCCCTATCTACTTCTCCAGAGCGTGCCCTTGCCACTCGTTAGCTGGAAGGGATTAGCTGGAGTATTTTTTCCCGGGGAAATGCTGCAGGGCCTGGAACACCAGTCCTGAGAAGTTAAAAAATGCTTCATCATAATAAATATGTATAAAACACACATCCCTATGCATGCGCAGCAAGCACACAATCATATAGGTGTGCATGGCCATGAATATGCATACCTGAAACCAACAAGTGTGTTTTCCATACTCATCTCACACATTTCTTGCTCTGAGTTGATTCGAAATCCGTCCGATGTGACAAAGTCACTGAGGCCAGATGACATCCACTGCCGAAGCAGAAAGGCGCAGTGCTTTTAGCAAGGGAAAATAAGGGTCTTGGGAGTAAATACAAAGGATGAAGAGCCACCTCCAGCTGGCCAAGGCTTTGAGCTTGGTGCACCAGTCAGTGCTTTGGGTTAGAGCTGCTCTTTCTAGAAGTGGTCATCTCAGGAGGAGCGTTAAAAGGCTGAAGATGGCACAGTGACAGCGTCTCTAGCCATGTCCTCCTGCATGGCCAGTGCCAGAGCTTGGCATGGGCCGCTGAGGTCTCAAGCACAGGGGTTTCACGTCTCTCCTTGGAGAGAAAAACTCATTTTCTCTCTGTCTCGGGTGAGCCAAGGCCAGAGGAGTGCTGGGCTCGGTAAGGAAATGGCATCAGTCTCAGGAGAGCCGAGAGCCACAGAAAAGTCTCAAGGTCCTCAAAGGATCTGCTCGTCTGGATTCCCATCTCTATCCTGAGCTTCCCACAGAAGAACAGGACCTGGCAGCACTGGGCAGAGGTTCCTTTCCAGTTACAAACTGTCCGTGACCCTCTTTGGGCTTTGACTCCCCAAGAAAACGCATGGAGGGGCTCCAGCACCCGAGGGAGCTGGGTAACATCCCCACCACGCTGACCCAAACCTCCCTTCCTCCAGCAGAAGAAAGCCTGAATTTCTCACTCTCTTTATCCTCTTGGAAGGAGAAAAATACACAGAGAAATCAAGCAGAGGGACATTCTGGCTCCCAGCTTGGGAGTTTTCAGCTGTGTGTTTATCAGCTCCATCCCCTGATGGTATCAGCACGAACAGGCCACCCACAAGAAGGCTTAGCAGGCCGGTCTGGGCTCCAGCTTTTCCTCCCTGTCTCCGTGTGTGTGTATATACACCCCTGACTATCTCGGGGACCGGCCGTCTGGGGCCTGCATCCATTTATTTACTACACAGCTGATGTAATGGCTAAACATTTTTTTTTCTGTGTTTATGGGGTGTGGTTTTTTTAATCTGCCCGAGATGAATAGACCCCTCGAGAAGTCAGCTTAAGTCGTGTCCCTTCTTGGGTAGGAAACCACAAATTTTAGGACAGGAAATGGGAACAACTTAAACAAATGGGTTTAGGATTTTTGTATTTAACTTCCCCAGCTCTCTTCCTTGGCAGATCCAAGAGGTGCTTTTCCCCTCTTTCTTCAATTCCTTGGGCAGAGGATGGCCCAGGCTGTAGGACAAACTCTACAAGCTTCAAGGATAACGCTCTAACCACCCACTTTCTCCCTCCACCTCAACAGGCACGTCAGATCTGAGCCCCTTCTCTGACCCCCGGCAGTTCGATCGCTCCTTCCCCACGCTGCCGGCTCTCACCGAGACCAGATTCTCCGACCCACGGATGCATTACCCCGGCGCCATGTCCGCTGCCTTCCCTTACACCGCGACGCCCTCCGCCACAGGCATTGGGGGCATCAGCATGACCAGCATGCCCACCACGACGCGTTTCCACCACACTTACCTGCCTCCCCCCTACCCCGGCTCCACGCAAAACCAAAGTGGACCCTTCCAAGCCAACCCCTCTCCCTACCATTTGTACTACGGCACGTCTTCGGGCTCCTACCAGTTCTCCATGGTGGCGGGCGGCGAGCGCTCCCCTACACGGATGCTCTCTTCTTGTACAAGTGCCTCGGCGGGGAACAACTTAATGAATCCCAACCTGGGCAATCAGAACGACGGGGTGGATGCGGACGGGAGCCACAGTAACTCACCGACAGCCATGACGACTACTGGGAGGATGGACGAGTCGGTCTGGAGACCCTACTAGGAGGAACTCAACTGGACACCGATAGCTTTAACTTAATCAGCCACCGTTACGTTACTCCTTTTGGTAGTGAATAGAGCAAAATGATGCCTTAGGGAAAAGGTAAACCAAAGTCTCCCAAACCAAAAGCAAACCAGGATCCTCTGCATGCAAGCATGGGCAAACATCAAGCGAAGATGGACCGGGACCTACGTTACATTTCAAGATGAACGTCCAGGAGGCTTGAATTTGTTGCTTGATGTGGTTCCTTTCGTATGTTTAAAGTATGCGGATTGTACATAGGGGGAAAAAAAAAAAGAACATGTGGAATCAGATGTTTGTTTCTTGCAGAACACTTCTCAGTCATCTCACTCGCACCTCTTCCCCACACAAAGCATTCAAAAGTTACGAAAAACTCACCCTTCTTCTGCAAAATGTTTCAGAGAAGAGAAAAGGGGAGTTGTCCAGGGCATCTCCCTGCCAGTGTGGGAGGGATTTTTTTAAAAAAAAAAAAAAAAGAAAAAAGCCCCGTTGTCTCCTCTCCTTCCCTCCCCACCAGTGTAGGGCCCTGACCACCAAAGAGCTCCGGGACGACGCCAGAGCCGTGCGCGGCACGTAAGGATCTGGTTTACAGCACAACCGCGGGGCTCCTCGCGGGTCGGCCGGCGTCAGCCATGTGAACACGAGCTGTGACGTGATTATTAGTATTTGTTGTTGACGACAGAGGTTGTATTGTTCGTTTTCGTCGTTGTCGTCATTTTTAAAACAGTAACGTGGTTGATCCCGCGCCGCAGAGCCCCCCTTTCCTCCATGTTTACACGAGATGTACTTTTTACGAGACGTGTGTTCTTTTGTTTTGTTTGCTCTTTTGTCCTGACCTCAACCGTTCGATTCTTTGCTCCTCTTAGCAAATCTCAGCGATGGTGGCGGAAGCGAGGGCGGCGTTCAGGACAATCCAAGGGGTGTGAGATGCACTTCCAAGCGCATTAGCTGCCAAAGGGACTCGGGAGCCTTTGGTGTGACTCTGCCTCCGGTCCCTGGGTCTTCCTTTCATCCTCTCCGAGTGGCGGCACATGCAGCTGGTGGCAAAGCATCATATTTCTCTTATGATCCTTTCCCATGTTTTCACCCAGAGTGGATTGACCCATGATGACTTTTTTGATTAAGAAACGACTGACTTACACCTGTCAGTTCATGCTGAAAGCTCTAACTGAGATTTGGAGAAAAGGAGCGATTTCTACTCAGTCCCTTGGTGGTGGGAATACTGCAAAGCAATGTTATCTAGCATTTTCCATCCCTTCATCCTCATTTCCTTTCCCCCGATGACCCAGAGCACAGATATCTTACTGGAGATGAATAAGCTGAAGAAGGGGCACTGAAGGTACCCTCGGCCCCTCGGTAGCTGGTTCCATCACCAGGTCTCCCGGGCACTGCACACCCTTGTAGCTGATACCAGGGTATCAATCAAGAGATTGCATCCCAAACAGGACCGTGGCAGGAGGTTGTAGGCAGCCAGAGGGGCAGCTCTGACGCACGCCGCAGGGTTCCATCGCCTCCCGCCAGCCAGCTCTGCTTTCTGCTGGTGTGGGAATTCGAGCTGGATTCGGGATTCCTTGCGCTGGCAGAGCTGAGGGTGCGTGGGCAGGTTCCTGGGGAGCATGGAACTGCAGTACCCACTGCCCTCCGGAGCCCACCCTGCAGCAGGGGGGCAGGGACCATCCCAGATCCCAGTGCCACTAGTAACCAAGCCTTTTTGTTTTATTTTTTTTATGAGCATAAGGAAAATTGAAAGCCCACAGCTGCCCTCCTGGCCTGAGTTACACCGTCACAGCCGCGCCGCCATCACCAAACCTCAGTTGGCAGCTTGTCAGCACGCGGTCGAGGTCCAGAGCGTTGTAATTGCACTACCACGTCAAGACTGGAGCAAGACATCCTGGCTTCGTTGGAAAGCTGCGATGACCACTCATGAGTTAAATAAGCAACAAGAGGAACAACTCCTTTAAATAATAATAATAATAATTAAAAAAAAAAAAAAAAGCCCTACCCCAGCAAAACTGCAACCTTCACTTGCCTTAGCGACAGCGAGCACCTCTCCGGTGTTTGCCAGCTGTAGAAACTGGACCACAGCAGCCTGTGTTTCGACGAAATTACGTTTGTCATCCGACCGCGCCACTGACTGAAAGCACAAAGACAACAAGGCATTCGTAGTACTAGGTTAATTTAAGACTGTTCGTCGTGAATTTAAAAACTCAAATAATAGGAAGAATGGCAACGATGTTATTTTTATGACATATTGTCATGTGAAGGTGTAAATGTGTGCACCTCTGTTGTGTGCAAATGGTCACAAGACAGGCCAATGTTTTTTGCTTTGCACTATAATTTGCTTTTTAAAAAAGATGCACAATCGCTTGTACAGTAAAACCCCTTTGTCTGGCTCACAGAATATTTAACTATAAAATCTAATTTTTGGTCTTATTTGTTATAATAATATAATTCTTAAATGTGTTGAAGGATCCGATTCTTAATAATGCTTCTAATACTTGTATGTGCAGGGTAAAATAACAACAAACGACTAAGGAGATGAGAACAAAGACCTTTGTAGATAAAGAAGGCTAAAGTTGTTGGTATTTTTAATAATGTCTTACGATGGACATTAAAAAAAAAATGCTAGTGATACCAAATAATGTGGTTATTTGTGTAATATACCAGCCTTACTTGAAGGTAATGCCCTATATTTAATATGTAGCCCGTCTTTTTAACCTGTAGCACTTGTCACTGGGGAGGGGGGAGGCAGGGAGGGAGGGAGAGGAAGAGGAGGGTCTGCTCCTGTTGAAGTCATTGGAAGAAGCACTTGCTGGAGACGTCTCTGCTGCGCGGCCTTCGATGAGAACAGAGCCGGGCTCCTTGGCGAGCGGGTGGGAGTCGCGCTGGAAGCGGGTCGGTTCTGCTTTTCTGTTACCGGTGTCGATGTTCTTACCCAATGTACGTGACTGTATCGTCAGGCCTCCGTGTAATCATTTTAATGACTTTCCATGTGGAATAATAAACGTACGGTTACAAGTCTCCCCGGTGCCTTCCGCCTGCTCACTTCTCCCCGGGGGGAGCGGATCTGTGCCCCGGTGCAGAGGAAGGTCCGTCACGCTGCTCCTGCTCCAGGGTCTAACGGCGGCACCTCTCCAAGCATCCCAGTGCCTGGTCCAGTGTGCTGGGGGGGCTCATGGCTGCTCTCGACAGCATCTTGGCCCAAGCAGGTGTCGCAAGGGGATCCGGGGAGGAGGACGGGCAGGTGATGGGGGAGATGGGACATCCCGGGGCTGCCAGCTCTGAGAAAACCCCTTTGGGCTTCTCCAAGGTGGGTCTGGACCACTCACACTGCACCCAGCCAGACCTGCCCAGTGATCCCTGCATCCCCACCACCCCCTGCCATCCCAACACACAAAAACCCTGGCATGAATCCTAACCAGGACCCGAATTCCCAAGTGGTCCAAGCCCAAACCCCTTAGCACTCACCACTCTCCTCCAGAACCCAAATGACAGCTGAAAAGCAAAAATAAACACAAAATTCAGCCTACAATAGTGTCTGATGCCAATGTGCTGTAGGCTGGGCACTCCCCAGGAGCCAAGCGTTACTC